AATCAAACCATCTCGGAAGAGATGTACAAGGCGCCTATAGTATATAAGGCGCAATGACTTTTCAAAGGTGGGTTCTGAAGTCAGCTGCACCAATGTGATAATGAAAATTTTCAACACTAACGGATAATCTTCACTAAAAGAATTTTAGACTGGGTCTCCCTCGCACACTACAAGACGGCTGCTCAGTGTGCGGGAGACAGAACGACAACTGTTGTTCACACCGTTCCTGGCCTTCACACCGGTAGCGGCGTAGCTACCGTGTGAACTCTGTTCGGATTCCGGCCAGACGCACCGCAGTAGAACGCCCGGGGCTCCTCGGGACTACAGTCCATCGTCTCTCTCGCGAGACGGTAGCTGGGTGCGAGAGAGACAGCACGAAGCAAAAAACTGTGGCGATTCCCGCCAGACACAGAATGTACTGCCGCTACACCCGAAATTGACCGCGCAGTGGCTCCACTCGTGCAAGCTTCATGAAGTTTCGCCGCGCCCCGCCGGGACTCGAACCCGCAGCCAGCAGGCTGATTCCGAGAGTCGCGTTTTCGTCGCTCTGTCTCTCTCGCATCGGCATGGGTGCCCCACGGAGGTGCGGGAGAGACAGAGCGATGTAAACGACTCTCGGAATCAGTCTGCACCCCCTTTGCTGTGCTGTTGGCAAGAGGGGGGGGGGGAATTCCCACGGTGGCGGGCGGAGACAGGTCCCTCCGCTTTAGGCAATGTGCGTCGAGTTAAAGCGGGATGTGTGGGTCTGCACGATGATTCCGAGGGGAGGGTGCCGTCGCCGTGTCTCTCTCGCACCTGTACGGGACGCCCCATGGGTGAGAGAGACCCACAGTGGGTCAGGAGACCGGTGGGGGCGGACAAAGCTCTAGACGCGTTTTGTGCTCCGGAGTCGCTAAACAGGACGAACCGAACGGGTGACCCCACCAATGGATTTCTCTCGGAACGAGGAATCCATTGGTGGGGTCTCACGTTCGGTTCCAGTCCCATTCAGTGAATCTGGAGCTCAAAACGCGTGCGGGATTTTGACCGCCTCCACCGGTCTTCTGGCCCACTGTACGCGTGGCTCTGTCTCTCTCGCACCTGTCAAGACGCCCCGCGAGTGAGAGAGAGAGAGAGAGAGAGAGAGAGAGAGAGAGAGAGAGAGAGAGAGAGACACACACACACCCGGCCCGGATGCAGCCTTGCTGGTGGAATGCCGCGAACCGCTCTAATTGAACCCGCGCACACTCACACCCGGAGGAGAATCTGTGAAGCACAGTCAGGCGAAACATTTCTGGCAGAGTTGGGCGCACGCGGCGAAAGAGGTCAAGTAGTAATAACGTACGGAATTAAAACTGGTTCCAGCAGATTGAAATCACTACGAATACAGCGTTCCCTCATCGAGGATAGTTCTGATAAAATACGCCTCTCATCCGAAGAAGTTCCGACGAGGGCATAGTAATTCTCAATAAGCGGATTGGATCCGAAAACTGTCCCGAGGAACATCATCACTGTAAAATTTCCACCACGTGTGAGAGTGGTCTCTACTCCACAGTACGGTACACACATCACGCTGAAAACCTTCACGGGTATAAGCGCATGTAAGGTGCGAAAAAATTAGCTTTTTAACGTCAATTGCGAGGTAGGGTCAGGTCGGGGAAGAACTGAACACCCCATATTTTACTCCAAATGCGGTATGCACAGGCTTAGGCTATCACACTCTCATTCCAGGAACGTGACATCACGTTGAAACGAACGTGACAAAGTGTCACGTTCGTTTGAGCATTGTGTCACGTTCGTTAGAATGTGAACGAGCTGATTCTCAGCCAAATCACACCCAAACGAATGTGACACAATGCTCAAACGAACGTGACAGTTTGTCACGTTCGTTTCAACGTGATGTCACGTTCCTGGAATGAGAGTGCACCCATCACAGAATGAACCGCTGATACCTCGGCACAACTTAAGATGGTTCTTGCATACGCGTAATTCAAGTAAAATATGGGGCGTTCACTTCTTCCTTTGCCCAGTTCTTCCCCGCCCTAACCCTAGTGTATTCTTCGTAAACTTCATGTACGCTCAAAGTACTTGGTTACGGCAAACTACTTTACGGCCTCGTGAATAGTTTGCTAGCTTCAGAAAGTCATGTTTCCGAGGCGTTTTTTTTCCTTGCTGCGTGTGCACGGCAGGCCGGGTCGCCCTACGAGGAAGAAGCGCGTGGGAGCCTCGCCCCGTGCGTGTTGACTTACTTATGCGCCTGGGCGACAGAGCCAGGGAGATGGGCCTCGGCTTCCTGGGCTTGCCGACGGCCCTGGGGGACGTCGTCGGCGTGGTCTCGCGGGCCGCCATGGCGGGCCAGTGCTGCGGCGGTATGGACGTCGCCGTCGGGGCGGTCGGCGCGGCCTGGGCCACCGGGTGGGCGGCCTGAGCCACCGGGTGGGCGGCCGGGTGGGCGGCCGGGTAGGGTGCCGGGAAGGCGCCTGGGTAGCCCACCGGGTAGCCGGCCGGGTACGCGGCCGGGTAGACACCCGGGTGGCTCGGCGTCGGCGGGCAGCCGTGGGGCAGCGGCACGCCGGGGACGCCCTGGCCGGGGTTGGTCACGATCACGGACCGGGGCTGGGCGTAGCACATCCAGGGGAACAGCAGGGTCGACATATCGTTCATGCCGACGTCTGGCACACCGACACGGCGGACACTTCACATCATCACAAGGTGGGCGCACTGCGCGGTGCACTGGTTTCGGCACGGCACGCCCCCGGCGCACACACACACACACACACACACACACAATGGCACTTCACTCGCGCGGCGGTCACTGCTTGCAGCGTCGTGTCGAGCGACGTGAGCGAGAGGCGACGAGGCAGCAAACGGCGCGCACTGAAGGTACGTTCGTCTGGCTTGCCGGTCGGCCGTCGACTGCTCCCTGGTCTCTTTTTCTCTCTCTCCGCCGCCTGGCGTGCCCGAGTCATGCCCTTCCCCGCGCCGCTGCCCCGGCGCCCCCCCTCCCCCCCACCTCCGCGCCCCCCTCGCGCGCGCGCCGCCGCGCCGCCTAGGGGAGCCGCCACAACGCGGGGGCGAGGCGCACGGGGACGCCCCCCCCCTCCCCCTCACGCGGCGCCCCCTCGGAGGGCAGGCTGCGTGGGCCTAGGGCCGTGCAGGGCGTGCAGGCCGCCGCGGTCGACGCCGCCACCCCATCCCCTCTTGGGGCAGGCCAGGGACGAAGCCCTGCCTCTACGCCCTTCGCCTTGCGCCGCGGCTGTCTGGAGGGGAGGGGAAGGGGAAGGGGGGCGCATCGCGGCGGCACGCGGTCCGGGGTAACGGACGGTCTGGCCGGCCTCGCCGGGCCTCGCCGAGGGGTGGCTGGCTGTATCGCTAACCGACGCCGCCGGCGGCGTCCTGCCCGACGCCCTGGTCGCGCCGTGAGTCAGAAGACCGGTGGCGGCGGCCAAAATTCGAGACGGATTTTGCGCTCCATTGTCGCTAATCAGGACTCGAACCGAACGTGTGACCCCAGCAATGGATTGCTCGTTCGGAGAGCAATCCATTGGTGGGGTCACTCATTCGGCTGGAGTCCCATTTAGCGACTTTGGAGCTCAAAACGCGTCCGGGACTTTAATCGCCTCCACCGGTCTTCTCGCCCATCAACTATACTTACGTCGTCGTGCCCGACGCCCTGAAGCGTTGCGATACGATAATGATGCAAATACTAGGGCAAAATTACCTGTAGACTTACTTTCTCCACGGGAAATCTTCAATCAAAGTGGAGGGAACCTAAATTTTTGGAACAAGACAAATTTGTAAATAGTTCAGCCACCAGTATACAGGGTCGAATCAGTAAAGCTTTGCCCACCAAAGGCACTTTTTAATCAGTCGCCATGTGCCCACCTAAAATGTATCTAAAATGTAACAAGTGTCTCAACGCATCTTAAAAACTTAGAGACTAGTTCAAAGTCCGGAGACTTCAATCAATAATCCTGATAGAAACCATTAGGTTCAATTTTATACTGGTGCGTTTCATGCAACATATTAAGAAGCAGGGGAAAAGAAGGCAAGGGCATAGAAATTTCAGTCTTGGACTATTTACCCCTCCCTTTTCACATAAAATTCCACACTGCCTTTAGGTCTCGCATAATTTTAAACACAGGACAGTGATTTACAAACTATTTTGTTTATTAATGCGTCATACAAGTATGAAAAAAAATACATTCCCTCGACGAATATTCTGCGGCGTGAGGGGTCAGAGAAACCATTATAAGCATCGAATAAAAGAAACGAAATGCTGATTCCTTGTTGGAAAAACCAAAAACAACTATTCTATGCTGACAGAACAATAAGAAGAACCAACAATGAAAACGCAAAAGTTGAACTGAATATAACAAAGTGGGACGGCATGCCTTCCGAATAGGACTTAATTAAGAGACGGCAAGCGTGACCAATCGTAGACTGCTAAATGAAAGTACTCGAAAGGCTTCGCATCAAACAACGTTTTAAGGAAGTATTTCGGTTCAACTTCTCAATGAGAAAAATAATTTCTTCCACGATTGTGGTCCTCACAACATACAATCTGAGAAGACAAATACTTATGTCACAAAATCTCTTAACAGAGGAATTGAACACAAATTGTTACTGCGCATAAAGGCAACCAAGGTTTTCAAAGAAACCTTATACCTTTACTTCACCCCGCAAGATGCGCACTAAAAAAAAAAAAAAAACTTCTTGATTATATAAATCTGAAGACAACTCTCCAGCTAAAGTGCGGAACCAAAAGTCAAATTTCACTTCGTGTACTTAAAAGGCTTCTCCCCCGTATTAGTTCTGAGAGAATATTCTCAACAAAACTTCTGCAAACTCAGCAAACGGAAAACTTATCCTAGAGCTCCAAGATAAGTTGCGAGAGTACTTCATTGGGTAAACTTCTTACACGATGCACTCAAAAGACTTCTCCCCTGCATGGGTTTGAAGATGAGTTCGGAGATCACTGGAATGCATAAACTTCTTATAACAAATTGTGCACACGAAAGGTTTCTCCCCTGTATGGGTTCTAAGATGAATTCTGAGACTAGACGCGTAAGTATGCTTCTTGTTACAAACAGTGCACTCGAACGACGTTTCATTTCTATGGGTTCGAATATGACTTCGGAGTTGACCTAGTTGGGTAAACTTCTTATTACAAACCATGCACTCGAAAGGCTTCTCCCCTGTATGGGTTCTGAGATGAGTTGTGAGAGAACCACTTGGTAAACTTCTTATTACAAACCATGCACTCGAAAGGCTTCTCCCCTGTATGGGTTCTCAGATGTATTTTAAGATTAGATCCATCCCTAAAATTCTTGTTACAAACTGTGCACTCAAAAGGCTTCTCCCCGGTATGGGTTCTGAGATGAGTTGCGAGAGTACTTCGACGGCCAAATTTCTTATTACAAACTGTGCACTGGAAAGGCTTCTCCCCTGTATGGGTTCTCAGATGTATTTTAAGTTTAAATGCTTGACAAAAATTCTTGCTGCAAACCATGCATTTGAAAGACTTCTCCCCTGTATGGATGTTTAGATGAGTTGCGAGAGTACTTCGACGGCCAAATTTCTTATTACAAACTGTGCACTGGAAAGGCTTCTCTTCTGTATGGGTTCTAAGATGAGTTGTGAGAGAACCGCGTTGGGCAAACTTCTTGTTACAAACCATGCACTCAAAAGACTTCTCCCCTGTATGGATGTTTAGATGAGTTGCGAGAGTACTTCGACGGCCAAATTTCTTATTACAAACTGTGCACTGGAAAGGCTTCTCTTCTGTATGGGTTTCTAGATGAGTTGTGAGAGAACCGCGTTGGGCAAACTTCTTGTTACAAACCATGCACTCAAAAGACTTCTCCCCTGTATGGATGTTTAGATGAGTTGCGAGAGTACTTCGACGGCCAAATTACAAACTGTGCACTGGAAAGGCTTCTCTCCTGTATGGGTTCTGAGATGAGAAGTGAGGGCACTTTGGTAGACAAACTTCTTACTACAAACCATGCACTCGAAAGGCTTCTCCCCTGTATGGGTTTGTTGATGTATTTTGAGTGCACTTCCTTGGTTTAACTTCTTCTTGCAGTTGATAGGAGTTTTTGAAGGAGTTCTCAGATGAGTTTTGAGGTCATGTCCTTGGCTTGACGTTTTGTTAGAAACAGTCAACTCGGAATAGCTTTTCTCTGTACTGGAGCAGCGGTGAGCAGTAGTTTTGGACACTGACTTACGCGCTCCAGGGCACAACACGACAACGCATGGTTGGGCCATAGTAAATGCCGATATTGCTGATTATTCTTTAAACCTGAAAAAGACATGTATATTTAGATATTTCGACTTGCGCCCAGCGCAGAACATGATTAACAATACGTAACCGCGCAATATGCTAAACTTACTGACTATTGATTACAACGCCAGACTTGAAGTTAATAGCAGTCAATGAAACGGTGAAATACACTGAAACAAGAACAAAAAAAGGGAAGGATTACAAGACCACATTTCGGCGGCATAAGTCGTTCCGAAATGCGGAGAGACATGCAGTTTCAACCCAGTCAGGATCAGCCGGCTGAACTTGTGTTCGAATGCAGCAACATTAACTGCATTGTAAGCGTACTGAAAAAGTTATTGCGTCATAAATGCCATAAGTATTGTATTGTATTAACGTTTGTTATTACTTTACCACACCAATATATGATAACTTGGACCAAAACCGGCCAAATCATGCAATAATTTTTTATTGCTGCTGATGCGATAATTCGAGGGAAATCACATAAGTATTTAAATCACTGCTAACTGTATGAAAGTTATCACATTGGAAATATTAGTGATGCCACCAAAATTTGGGTGGCTAAAATAAGAACGACAAAATACCAAAAATTTAAGTGATAAAAACTTGCCGAGCTCCACTTAACTACGTGACTGGAGAAAAAGTTCCCTTCTCATGCACACCTTGATTCAGCACCAGCCTGTCTTCCGTAACGAGTTGAGAAAAACCGGCGTCGTCTGGGTGAGAAGAGACTCCGGCAGCGACGTCCTGTAAAACGACTCTCCTGATAAAGATCCCCGTGACGCTTTGCCTCTACACTCTCATTCCAGGAACGTGACATCCACGTTACGAACATGACAAAATGTCACGTTCGTTTGAGCATTAGAGTCACATTCGTTTGGGTCCGAATTGGCCAAAAGTCAGCTTGTACGTTTCAACGTGATGTCACGCTCCTGGAGTGAGAGTGTAGGGAATTGTAGCTGGAAACTCTTTGTTCAAGTGCACACGCTTATTGTAGGAACGTGACATCACGTCCAAACGAGTGATTACGGTTACATCTATCGAATTTAACTTATTCAGAAGAGTTATTATTTAATCAAGAAAACCACACATTTTATCCGTGTTGCACACGCTATGGCTCTGCCTTGCCCCACCCGCTGCAGCGGGTCAGCAGGCGGCACTGCGCACGCCGCGCATTCGCGAACTGATTGGCCGGCCGGCGTGTTCCCTTCCGGCCAAAGCAAAGCGCTCACTTCCGGTATCACTTGCTGCAGCCGCTGTCTGCCGCGCTGGTCAGGGGGCAGAGAGAGAGAGAGAGGAGAGAGAGAGAGAGAGAGAGAGAGAGAGGAGGGGGGATGATACGTACACGGAGGGAACACTCAAAAGGCCTTCGAAGAAATTTCTCATGTAATACGAAAGGAAGGTGCAAGCAAATTGGGAAGGTGCACTCATACTCCTTACAATTTAGTTAAGTCTTCCCTTGCCTCTTCAAGAGGACGCCTATGAACCTGTGCAATTTGACGCCCTTCTTCATTCAGACACAGCCAAATTCCTCTCCCATTACATACGAATCATGCCTGAAATTTTTCTTTCATTCACACTAAATTCTTATGGACTTTTTTATGCATAGTTATGCATGCGCAGAAACGTTCATAAGGTATGAATAAAATTATGCATCACTGTGTACATTTTATGCAGGAAGGTGCATAAAATGTACACAATGATGCATAATTTTATTCATACCTTATGAACGTTTCTGCGCATGCATAACTATGCATAAATTATGCGTCATTATGCATTTAAAAAGTCCATAAGAATTTAGTGTGTTTGCTCTCTGACTCGGACTCTGCTGTCGACAGTGTCCTGGCCCGGCCCCTCCCCGCTCGCTCAAGAGACCCGAAAACCGTTGTCCGGTCCTCCGCCTCGACGAGACGAGAGACGCGTTGCGCGAAATCCCGAATTATGGAAAATAATAAAACACTGCCGTCCGTCGAGTCGGGCCGTCCGAGACCCATCGGTTCTCATTAGACAGCGGCGTGTGCAGCCGAGTGAGCGTCCTCTCGCCTTGGGGCGCCACGCCGCACAGTGGGCCAGAAGACCGGTGGAGGCGGCCAAAACTCTAGACGCGTTTTGAGCTCCAGGGTCTCTAAATAGAACGAGAACCGAGCGTGTGACCCCACCAATAGATTCCTCGTTCGGAGAGCAATCCGTCCGTGGGGTCACACGTGCGGCTCAAGTCCTCTTTAGCGACTCTGGAGCTCAAAACGCGTGTAGAGTTTTGGCCGCCTCCACCGTCTTCTGGCCCACTGTGCGCCGCTCCATTTGGCAACATTATAATACCTGTTTTCCGTGCCTCGTTGCTCATTTTTTGCCCTCCTTAAATTCCATTGGATTATTTTCATTTCGTCGTATCAACTTTGTCATGCATTTTTTTCCCTTGTTTTTGGACGGTGTCCCCGTCGCGGTTCTCTGAGGCGCGGGTTTTTAATCCACTGTGATGGATCTGCTCGAGTTCGCTCGTGAGTGAGTGTTGGTGTGTGCACTGTTGTCTGGCTTTTGGCCCAGCCGGACATCACACCAAAATAATCACTCTAGATGTCTTAGGGTTTATTATCACATATACCTTACGATTTCTCTTCTCTCTCTCTCTCTCTCTCTCTCTCTCTCTCTCTCTCTCTCTCTCCCCCCTACACACACACACTGGCAGTCAAGGAGCAACAAGGACTGAGCTAGGGAAAACGGTACAAAGGCCTAACAAGTGGCCTAACAAGAAATTTACTGTAACACGCAGGAAACAGCCTGCAGTGCAAATGCCAGTGTGAGACAGCCACTATTTAGCGTGAACCAAAATGTCTCACGCTTCTACACCTCAGGGCAGCAGGCGTGGGCCATACTGAGCCTGAAACTGAAAAGTGCGAGACATCGGTGTCTCACACTTGCAAGCGTGGGAGAAAAGTGGTCAACACTCGTAAGCGTGAGACATTTTGGCTCACGCTAAATAGAGCGAGACTATCTCTGAGCGTTTACGAATTAAGGAAGTATTTCGGTGTCTCGTACAATTGAAATCCAAATAAAGAATCGTATTATAGAGAGAAATTGCTTCGTTTTATGCTTGCGCGAACACAGCTCAAACTTTGATTGATAGATATTTAGAGTGCGATGACGAATTCCTGATGTACAGTTAGGTTTAAATACTTGAACAAACTATGTTTGTATTATGCTGGCGCCATTTCCTCTGAGAAATTTCTTCGTATTTAGAATGTGCAAGGTGCGACTGAAGCAAGCAGCACACTGTGCTGTCTTTACAGCCCTGAATCTATCTATCTATCTATCTATCCGTCCTCGCTCAGCCCCAATCACACCCCAGTCTGCGATCAGATTCCAACCAGCCTGCTTACTCATTCGGTATGCATGCAGTACACACAAAAACACGTTGCACACACACACACACACACACACGAGGTGTCGGTATCAAACGCGCGCGTGGATTCAGCATTCAAAGGGCTTGTGTGAGGCCGTGATTGCCCTGGGTAGAAAAAAAAGCCTAAAAAGACGCAGCACCAGGCAGAGCCCCCCCCCCCCCAAGAAAAAATAAAAAATAAAAAAAAAATGAGCGTGCTACTTTAATCTGTCGTTCCCGACTCTGCCCGATCGTCTCTCTGATTTTGACGTGTTCGGATCCCGACCGCGGCTAATCACCGCCGGAGGTGGGGGTGTTCGATCCAAAAAGGAAAACGCCGAGCAAACAGAGACATCTGTTTGACTGCGTCGTACACGGTCAAAGTAATGCCTGGGATTCCAAGGTGCCTCCTGGAGGAAGAATCCCCTTTTTCTGGGAATCAAAGGCGCTGCTTTTGTTATGCACCAGCAAAAGCATTCATGGCCTCCAATAGCTCCACCCAAATTTGAACACCAAAATTCACCATTGTGAAATTTACTAAAAATTATTGAAATTAAGATTTATTGAAATCCTTATCCAAATTCAGCAGTTTTAGCCTGAAATTCATCAAAATTCAACTGAAATTCATCGGATTTGCACACTGAAATTCACAGTGATTTCCCCTCGATGGCATCGGTCTGCGAGTGTGACGATGATACTTTGGATGTCATAGTCACGATGGCGTTCGAACAGTTCCGTTACACTGTGGCAAAAAGCTACGGAAAATCCTGTAAACAGCTTGTGGTAATTCTCCGTAGGCCCCTTATCAATATTCTCCGTAGGCTCTTACAGTATTTTCTGTAGGACCGCACAGTATTCTCCGTAGGACCGCACAGTGATCTCCGTAGGACTATACAGTCTTCGAGGTCCTACGGAGAAGACTGTGCGGATTTACAGAGAATACTGTGCGGCCCTACGGAGAATACTGTAAGAGCCTACGGAGAATATTGATAAGAGGGCTACGGAGAATCCTGGCAAAAAAATTAACAGGATTTTCCGTACCTTTTTGCCACAGTGTATACTAACGCCCCTACAAGTCGCGTTACTTGACGCAGCTATAAGCGACTGCCCGACTGCCACAAGGCAGATTATTGTTTCAATGGTCCACAGCCTAACCAATTAATGGCGGAAATATCATACGAAGGTAGAATTTGTTCCTATTTATAAGGCTTTTCTTTGATACTCACAAAAATAAAAAATTCTAGATAGTAACATGAAGAAATATTGCTTCGAATGATGCTTGAACCAAATTCACCATGCAACAAAGGCCAAATTTCATTGTTAAACATTTAAAGTGAAGGAAGGAACCGAAGAAGCGTATGGAAGTGGAGCAAAAAACGGGAAAAGGAGAGAGACACGAGTGAGAGACGAGGAGAGTGCGGTTCCGCGCAGCTTGTCCCCTCTCGCCCCGAGCGACGGCGACAGCGCCCGCGTTCGGCGTCCGATGACTTTTATTTGGTTCATCAGTATGCCGGTACGCGACGCCCCCCCCCCTTTCCCCCTGGATCCGCCCCCGCGGCTGTGTGCGCGGCTTGCGCAGCGGCCGCCGCCACGCGAGGAGACAGACGCGCAAACAGGGGACCGCGCGAGGGGAACCGGCGGGGCCGCACTGTGGGCCAGAAGTCCGGTGGAGGTGGTCAAAATCCCGGGCGGGTTTCGAGCACCACAGTCGCTGAAGACGACTTGAACCGATCGTGAGACCCATCAATGGATGGCTCTCCCAACGAGGGATTCATTGGTGGGGTCACACGTTCGGTTCAAGTACTGTTCAGTGACTCTGGGCCCAAAACGCGTGGCCACGGGCGCCGTTCTTCTGACCCACTATCGGCCGGCCGGCACACCAGTGTGGGTCCGTTCTGAATAGATAAGAGTTTCGACGCCGCTGTCTCCCTCTCTCTCAATCCGGCATGCATTTTTTGTGACAAAAATTACTTAACTATAAACCCAAAAATCAATTCAATAACTAAACCTCACTCACTCACTCACTCCCTCTCTCTCTCTCTCTCTCTCTCTCTCCTCACTCACAAACACAATGGCCACTTCAAACAGAGCTCAAACTGAAGAAATAGGCAGAAAATAGGCCGGAAAATCACCAAGAAGCCTCCTTTTAAGTCTATAATGGCACTTACTTTTCGGGGACACTGTGAGTTCCTGTAGGAACCAAGGTACGTGGCACGGGTGGCAAAGAAGCACAGGCGTGCCGAACAAGCCGTCAGTCACGTATTCCAGTGTAATTAATCGTAAGATTTGTACGAATAAAGGACTAGTAAAGTTACGTACCCACGTTTAAATTGAGCAACTAATTCTACGTGGTTTTTCTCGCGCAAATTTTGCACACAATTTTGCATTTCGCACAATTTTTGCCTTAAATTTCGTGCGAATTGCGGGTGTGATTGTCGCGTAAAAATTTGTACGAAAAAAATCGCGAGTTTAAAATTACGTGAGCCCACGTACAAAATTAAATGGAATTTCAGTTAGTGCCTTTTGGTTTCAGTGTCGTGTGTAAAGATGCGTCAAAATCCGTCATATGGAATTTGAGCTAGGTTACAGTGGATTTGGCGCAAGGATCATATGAAGAAATACACTGAGCAATGCTGCTTGTAATAAAACAAGACGTGTTGCTATCAAACTTAACAGCATAAGTGTTGTTAATTTACAACATTTTTTTTAACAGTGACTCGCACCAGACCGGCAGACAGCAGCGCCCCAATCGGATTGATCTCGTCGCGACGCGTCAGACTGACGTGCACCCTTAACAACCCCGCCTCCGCACAGTGGGCCAGAAGACCGGTGGAGGCGGCCAAAACTCGAGACGCGTTTTGAGCTCCAGAGTCGCTAAATGGGACTCGAACCGAACGTGTGACCCCACCAATGGATTAGTCTTCGAACGAGGAATCCATTGGTGGGGTCACACGTTCGTTTTGAGTCCATTTCAGCGACTCTGGGGGTCAAAACGCGTCCAGAGTTTCGGCCGCCTCCACCGGTCTTCTGGCCCACTGTGCAGACCGAGTCCCAACAATCCTCCGTCTCTCTCCAGACTACGCGGAGCCGCACGAGAGCGAGAGAGACAGAGCGACGAAACCACTCTTCGGGATCAGTCTGCCTGCGGGCGGCGGAGTGGCGGAGCGTCGCCGCCGCATTCGCACCCGCATTTGCATAAGTTTCGCGCGAGTTTGGCAGGGCGGCGTGGCGCGACGGCGACGTGTCGTAAGGGCTTTGGCGGGCCGATTCCGAGAGGTGTTGTCATCGCTCTGTCTCTCTCGCACCTGCACGGGCCGGCCCATGAGTTGGAGAGAGACAGAGCGACAGGAGACGACACTCGGAATCAGTCTGCTGCCGGGACTGCCGACGCGGCAAGAGGCAGCGAGGCGCCAGCGAATCCGCACAAATCCAAAGGCACGCCGAAGGCTCGCCGTGTCCGTTTTTCACACGAACTGGCACTGGACGCTGCGCGCTGGCGAGCTGTTTGACGAGAAGAAGAGACCGTGTAGGCATACGCCACGCCACCACAGGCGCATTCGTTGGAATGCATAGCAACTGCATTGAGAAAACCTTACAAACTATTTCACATTCTAGAAAAGTAGCTTGTTATAACAAAGCATTTTGAGCATACATCGACGCGTCCTCACTGAGAATGATAGAGTCATGATCATGACTAAAGTTTTGGGCGAGGAATTCTTTATCACCCAAATTTGGGTGAGGAAGGTTACCTCGCCCAAATTTGGGTCATAATACTACACCCTCAGATTCTTATGTTGAAAGGGCCATCGTAACATACGTTGAAATAAGAACATACGTACTACAATAAAATTCATGCGTAATACGATGAAATTCATGCGTAAAACGATAATATACATGCGTAATACGATGAAATTCATGCGTAATGCGATGAAAAATTAAGCATATTACGTATGTGCAAATTTATGCGTACCTTACGATGAAAACCCATCGTAATACGTATGCAAACGATCATAATATGTTGAGTGTGTATGGAGCCATATAAGTGACTGATGCACCCTTCCTGACCCAAACCCAAACCCAAACCCAAATTTGGTCGAGAAAGCCTTCCTCGCCCAAATTTGGGTGATAAGGTATACCTCGCCCAAAATTGAGTATTGATCATGACTTGATCCAGGAAGCGGAAGAAGGGGATAAGTCGAGTTGAAACCGTGCACTTTTGCAAGGACTAAACCTTGCAGGTGGGAGAACAGGTGGGGAATGTCATCTAAAAATAGATGCAGGAGGATGGGACTTGCCTCACCACACTTATTTTTGGACCAAATTTTCGCTCATGTTTACTAGGTAGCCTGATAAGAGGTCAATGAATCAACTCGACTTAACCCCTTCTTCCGCTTCATGGATCACTTTATCATTCTCAGTGCTAATAGAATAATCCTTATTGTCAGAGCAGATCCAAGGCAACCCTAACTGCCAAAGCTGATCCAAGACGATCCTAGCTTCCAGAGCAGATTTAGAACAATCCTAACTTTAACTTCAGAGGTACCTAAAAGCGTTCGTGAACTGTCTTCACTGCACATGAGAGAAACGGGATTGATTGGTAGCAAACCCACTTTAAGCGGGGAAAGCCGACAACTTTGTGTCTTTCCCCACTTAAACTGGGTTGGGTACCAATCAATCCCGTTTCTTGCCGCGGCTTCCGGTTTCAATCGTCCTCCTGAAACGGACTCACCGGTTAGTCTCCGACGAGAATAAGAAACCGGCATACCACGAACAGAGCCGTGAGTTATGTTCCGCTTTAGTCACGCTGATCCATAACCCCCTATGCCCTCTCACAGCGTAACGTTTCAAACAATAGACTATCCTAGACACTGTCGACTGAAGAAGAAGAAGAATCACAAAACCGGAAATGGAGTGAATCGGGAGGAGAGAAGGTAACTATCCTGCTGTAAGGCAGAAAGGCTAAGTCTTCCCTTTGCTATCACTCTAAATGTACTTGAACATGATTCGTTCGAGGCATCGTAGTTTTCAGAGCAGATTAGCTATTCGCACGCACTCTCAGCCTTTTACTGACTATTTCTCATTAGCAGACGCATTTCTGTAAGCAACCATAATAATTAGTATTTTTTGTCAGTATTACTTAGCAATAGCTAATTACTGTACTGATATTACTGTTTTCTTAAAAAATAACAAAGAAATTTTTAAGTACTTAAGAACTAAATATTAAGTATTATGGTTGCTAACAGAAATACGCCTGCTAATGAGAAATAGTCAGTAAACGGCTGAGAGTGCGAATTTGTGGACAATACAGAAAAGTGGCCACTTTTCCTCGGGGAAATGTTGCAGTTAAGTTCATATGCCCCAAAAAATGTGATGTCTCGGACAATGTTGAGCGTGATATTTAAAGTGTATTGGGCGCTAAATTAATGTTGAAAGGGTAAAACTCTACCTAAAGTAGTCGAACGAGTGACAGGCTACAGATGCCAAGGCCGTTTCCGGTGTAGGCTTGACCCCCCCCCCCCTTTTGCACCGCACGGTTACGCAGGCCAGACACCCCCTTCCCTCTATCTGCGTAACGCATTAAATGAACGGCGCCGTTCATTTGCTGTTCGTTTAAAAGCCGGCCCCTAACCAATTCACTTGTCCAAAACGTAGTGTCATCTCGTAGATCACAGGATCATTCAAACAGTAAGTAGACGTGCGCACTCGCCAAAGATTCCAAAGTCGCTGATCTTATCTACCGAAAGGGTACTTCAAAGAATCTAGAAACGGATGAAGAACAATAAGCCCTTCCTTTAAAACAGCTTTGACGCATGCGCAGCAGCTGTTTTGAGGACTTACTTTTGTTCTTACACTTCCGTTTCTAGATTCACTGGAGTGCCCTAGGGCTATGATTATTACCAAACAGGCGTCAAACCACTTCACGAACCTTCAACTCTGGGGCTGCAGTACGCTGTGACGACGTCAGGACGGTGAGCACAGCGTGGCGCCTTCGATGGACGCAGTACAAGCGGTTAGAAGGACCACTGACAAAGTTTTCCTTCTTTCCAGCTCACTTGCCAAGGTGTGGTACGCGAGCCTCTCTCAACTCATGCTCAACCTCAACCCGTCACCGTAACAGCGTCTAGTATTTGTTTATGACTCACCACACTGGTCAGTCTCTGAAAGTTGACTGCTCCCCTGAAGCTCCTTGCAGCATCCGATAGGGTGCTCAAGGCCGGAAGTGAAAAAGAGAAAACAGAAACTTTTAAGACTCACAGCTGTATCTGTAACACCGTCATCCGCCATTCCGTTCATTTGACGCGAGCATTGAGTCTCCTTAGACTTTCAATGAAGTTCTCCCGTCAGATCAGGCCAACTCACAGGTTATCATACCAGTATTACAGAGGGCTTCTCGGACTGCTCTAGGCCCTTAGCGGAGCCGACTTCTTGACCGGAAGCTGTCTGTCCTTCACCTTCACGTAGCACTTCAATGAATGTTGTTACGAAACTAAAGATCAAAATTCTCATTAAACCGCATAAGCACCGGTTGTTGGAGGAAGGTCTGCGCATGCGCTTAAGCTGTGTTGAGGTCATACTGTTCTTTATTCGTTTCAAAATTCATTGTAGGTTCCAAATTTGACCAACTGCGCTAGTACCTACATTTGCGTCGTCACGGCTCCTTCTAATCTATGCTCAGGAGTTAGTTACATCCATTGTGGCTAATCTTGACTTCCGGCCTCGGCGTGCTTCGAAGTGCGGTGTATATTTGACATTCCACTAACCTGAGTGAAACGGTTACGCCATGATACGGCACTCCAGAGCGCAAACGTGAAGTTTCTATTTAACTTCCGGTTTTGCTGTCACCAGGTTTCACGTCGCCCACCTGGTCGCACTCACCGTTAGAAGACCTTCTTATTCATCCATCGTTTTTTGCAGCCAACACTGGTGAGTACATTCTGATGTCACGTTGGAGGACGACTCGGTCTTTTACCCTAAGTCCGAGCTTCTTCGTGTAGGCTATTTCACGTTATGCGTTTTCTTAACTATTATTACTCACGTGCTCTATCTAATTTACTTTCCAGAACATCAGACAATCATACGAGAAGTCTTTCAGCCTGGATGCTTCAAGTCCTCGCGCAGTACAACGCCTGGAACATATACTGGACTTCAGAGGTAGGCCGCGTTCTGTTTCAAGCTGACTGCACCATTAACACCAAGAAAACTGACTTAACGACACAAACTGCTTGAAAGGAACGAGTAAATGTTATCCTGAACTGAACCTTTCAAAACTATTCGTTGAATAGTGTGTCGTCAACACTGGTAAAACTAAGGCGTAGTATTACGCCTTTCCTCAAGCGTAAAATCTTGAAGCGTACTTCTGCGCTTGACTTCAAGCGTAAAGAAGAGCTACGCTTGAAGCCAAGCGCACTCAAGCCAGGTCAGAAATTCTTACGCCCTGCTTCAAGCGTAAAGTCAGTACGCTCAATTTCAAGCGTAAAGAAAACCTATGCTCAATTTTACAAGCACAGGAGAATGCGCACATTCATCGTGTGAAACCAGCTTAATTTAATTTCAGATAATATCTTACATTAGCTTCATGCATCCTTCATACAATAAATGAACTTTCAAAGAAAATTACAAAATGTATGAAAAAGATGTTTGGGGGTCCAAGTCCTATAGGCCTTTAGGACTCCGGAACACTCCAAAAGTGTTTACACCTGGCGCAGTTCCGGCATTCACTCTTGAGACACTTACCTTGTAGTGCTATCCATTAAGTGTTCCTGCTGGTTTGGTTTTAATGTTTATGATTTGTTTCTTAGTCTCAGACCGCTGGCGCTGGTTTTCATGTTTCCTGATGACATGCTGAAGGCCTAGCCCCACAGACAGAGTACATAACCTCTTGGTGCTGATAGGACAGTTCGATATTACTCTACTTTCAAGTTTGTGAGTATGCTGTGACTGTGAGCATAAAGATTTCTTCGGGCGACACACTGGGCACAACTTCAAAATGCTTGACATGCTGCAAGTGATGAAACTGATCCGTTTGAAATAAAGTTTGTCAACACAAACACACGTCTTGACTATTCACCCTCAGTCTCGAGTGCAAATAAGTTACTTGTTGCTTTTCACACTCCGGGCTGTGAAAGGCAAAAAATATCTTATATGCACTCGAGACTGAGGGTGAATAGTCAAGATGTGTGTTTGTGTTGACAAACTTTATTTCAAACGGATCAGTTTCATCACTTGCAGCATGTCAAGCATTTTGAAGTTGTGCCCAGTGTGTCGCCCGAAGAAATCTTTATGCTCACAGTCACAGCATACTCACAAACTTGAAAGTAGAGTAATATCGAACTGTCCTATCAGCACCAAGAGGTTATGTACTCTGTCTGTGGGGCTAGGCCTTCAGCATGTCATCAGGAAACATGAAAACCAGCGCCAGCGGTCTGAGACTAAGAAACAAATCATAAACATTAAAACCAAACCAGCAGGAACAATTAATGGATAGCACTACAAGGTAAGTGTCTCAAGAGTGAATGCCGGAACTGCGCCAGGTGTAAACACTTTTGGAGTGTTCCGGAGTCCTAAAGACCTATAGGACTTGGACCCCCAAACATCTTTTTCATACATTTTGTAATTTTCTTTGAAAGTTTATTTATTGTATGAAGGATGCATGAAGCTAATGTAAGATATTATCTGAAATTAAATTAAGCTGGTTTCACACGATGAATGTGCGCATTCTCCTGTGCTTGTAAAATTGAGCATACGCTAGAAATTGAGCGTACTGACTTTACGCTTGAAGCAGGGCGTAAGAATTTCTGACCTGGCTTGAGTGCGCTTGGCTTCAAGCGTACAAACTCTACGCTTGAAGCAGGGCGTTCCAGCCTTTAGTACGCTTCAAAGAGGCGTAATACTACGCCTTAGTTTTACCAGTGAAGTGTTTAGGTTGGTACCAATCTATTTAGGGAGAGCCCACGGTGCGATCGGAATTTCAAAGTTACTTGCGTGCGTTATAGTACAGACATGTGATTTTGATCGTCTAAGAGGGAGCGAACGTAGCAGTCAGCTCTTTAACCAATTTTTTGCGCCAGATTGTAAGGATCTTCATTTACCGACGAAGTCGAGACACGCTTAGAACCTTGTGAAGTATTTTGAGCACATGTAAGATAAAAGCTATTTAGTTGGTTATACGAACAATAGAGCCTTCAAGTCTTCACCTATCGAAGAACAAGAGGAAGGACAAAACCGGAAGCCGAGGGGAAAGGGAATAGGTAGCATGTTTGGTTTAAGGGAGAAATGTTGACAAATACTCTGCAAACTGAAGTGTTTACTGAGTATCCGTCTGAATTCGCATACTTCCAAGTACACACCTACAGATGCAAAATTGGATGAGTACACGTCTACAGATGCATACTCAGCAGAGTACAGAACTGCAGATGCATACGTGGATGAGTCAGGTATGCACTTGTTGGTGTGTACTAAGCCAAGTATGCATCTGCAGACGTGTTCTCAGCTGAGTATGCATCTGTAGATGTGTACTTGCAAGTTTGCATTTGTAGTCGCACACTGAAAACACACTTCAGGTTGTAGAGTATATTAAATGCCTTTGGCAAAAAGTATTTGAAACTGACGAAAATGCCTTTGGAGGAGATACGCTTCGGAAAACTCATCTGTTCCACTCATTTAAGCCTACGAGGTTGTGTTGCCGGCGCCAGTTCCGTCATTTTTCTTGCTGTTCTACGATCGATTACGACTAGAATGCTGTTGGCTCGTTTATTTCGATATTATTATTTTTTTTTAGCTTTTGTATGCTCAAAATACTTCCTTTTAGCAAAGCTACTTTTGAATGCCAAATAGTTTGCAAGATTTTCAGATAGTAACAAAGCTGGTCGGTGTTGTTTCAGATTGACGTGCTTGCTCACGATTCCGAAGAGTTATCCCCCGTTTGCCGTTACGCCCTTTGTAATCTTCAGAGATGGCTGCTCCAATTCGGTCCGGCACGTCCAAGAAGTTGTGCCCGTGCGATGTCTGCAAGAAAACCTTCAGTTCCAACGCCAAACTTCGAGTCCACCTCAGAACGCATACAGGAGAGAAGCCCTACGAGTGTACATTGTGCGGAAAGATGTGCAGTCAGGCAGAGGACCTCAGGAGACACATCCGAATCCATACAGGAGAAACTCATTTCGAGTGCACAGTTTGCAATAAGAAGTTTCTCAGAGAATCTGGTCTGGTACATCATGTCAGAACTCATACAGGAGAGAGGCGTTATGAGTGCACGATTTGCGGTAAAAAGTTTAGTGGTAGTAGTGGTCTCGTATTCCATCTAAGGACCCACACTGGGGTAAAGCCGTTCCAGTGTACGGTTTGCAACAAACTGTTTCGTCAAAAAGCTCATCTCAACTCCCACACCAAATTCCATACTGGCGCCAAGCCTTTCAAGTGCATGGTTTGTGACAAGCAATTCAGCCATGGATCTTCTCTGAAATCTCATGTTAGAACACACACAGGGGAAAGACCCTACAAATGTACAGCGTGTGAGAAGAATTTTACTCAAGCCTGTCATCTCTTAGTTCATGTTCGGACTCATACAGGTTTCAAACCTTTTAAATGCACAGTTTGTGCCAAAAGTTTCACACAAGGAGGTGAACTCCGATGTCATCTTAGAATCCATACTGGGGAGAAGCCTTACGAGTGCACAGTTTGCAACAAGAAGTTTGGGCAAGGAAGTGAACTCAAATCTCATTTCAGAGTCCATACCGGTGAAAAATCTTTAAGATGCACGATTTGCAACAAGCTGTTTTCTGCTCTACACTCTTTGAAAGTTCATCTCAGAATCCATACAGGAGAGAAGCCTTTTGAGTGTGCTGTTTGCAATGCTAAGTTTTCTGTCAGCAGTCATCTCAAATCTCATCTCAGAATTCATACAGGACACCTAGGAACTCACACAGGGGAGAGTCCATTCAAGTGCACAGTGTGCAAGAAGAAGTTCAGTCGAAGTTGCACCCATTTAAAAACCCATACAGAGGAGAGGCCTTATGTCTGCACAGTGTGTAATAATAAGTTCAGTCAGAGGGGCAACCTTCTGACTCATCTACAGGACCACTTGAGAGAGGACTGATTTCATGCAAAGGACCATAATGTATGTTTTCCTGAGTGTTTTTTTTTATCAATGTTCAAAGGTGTGAGCTTATTTACAAGTGTTACACGTCTAAGCTTAATCTGTATTCGTTGTGAAGGCTTAAGTTTTGCTTCCTTGCATTAAGTGCTGCATTGTAAGATAACTTATGTTATTGGTTAAAATCGTTGATTTTTAGTAAACCTTTCTATTAGCCGATACTTCAATATAGAGCGTTTTCTTCAAAGTCCGTTCTCATCTCCCCAAAAAGTGAAAGCAAATCACAAAGGAGCACGGATGAGCGGCACTGGCGGGGGCGCAGCAAGTCCGCAAGCGCACACTGTGCGCTAAAAACACAGTGAATCCTGGTTACTTTGTGCCACGATTTGTTGTAGTTCGGAATACAGGATTTACCTTGCACAGGATTTTCCGTAAGTTACTCCACCTCAGCTGCTCAGTAAATCCCGTAGAAGTACAGGAGATCTTGTAAAACAAAGTACAGTAGATCCTGTACTCTGAACTACGGTGACAGCTGTACTAATCGTTACATGATTTACTGTATTTTTTTTTTTCGCACAGTGCAGCTTGAGGACGACGTTACTCCTCCATCTCCTTTGGAAACTCATTTGTGCGCCAAGCACGCGTTTCATGGAGTCAACCACTAGGCACAGGCACTTGCTCACTTCATGTCTGGGAGGCTAACGTAAAATGTGCTTGTTTCTTTTTAACTGTACAATTTTGATCATGTTAAGGATAAAATTGTCAATAGATCATATAGAAACTGAAAAGTACATTGCAAATGACAAAAAGCCAGGTTTAATAGACTAATACATTATACAGTGAACAAAATAGTGCACAGCTAAGGAGAAAATAGTACATATTACGTTTGCTAAAAAACTTTGTAGCAAGAGATAAAAAGTCAATACGAGTCTGAGAGTGTAAAAAGGTGGTTCGCCCCCAACAAATTTGTTCCAAGCCGCCCTCTTGCCGCGATGAAACTCAAAGGTAGCCGAAACAACAGGGAGGCTGAGTGCGCCTCGCGGATTTTAATTAATCTCGCTCATTATTTAACGCTCGCCGTCCTGGTTCTCGACGAGGGCAACTTGGCAGCACTGGGCGCACCTGAAATCGGAGAGCTCCTCGCGAAATTAATGATAACGCCTCTGGTTGCCGCGGGGAGTAGTTTTGCGGAGTGACGTCAGCAGAGCGGCCCGGTGCAGGCAGACCGATTCCAGACACAGTAGGTTCGTCGCTCTGTCTCTCTGAGCTAAATCAACTAAGACGGACCACTTCTTCCGGTGACCCTCTCCGATTTGCATGATTTTTTGTAGGCTTAATAACTAACTAAAGGAGAGTCTAAAGCCAAAATATTAGGTCCGGCAAAAATTTATTGCCCGAGATATGGCCAACTTTAGTTTAACTTTTGGAGAAAAAACACGAATTTGGGTATTTTGGACTAATTTTACACTGTTCATAGTAGAGGGCTAAACTTTGGTCACTTAATGTAAAATTGGCCAAGGAACAAGAATATGTCCTCAGATTTGACCTCCGACCTATACCTGAAGAGTAAACCCCCCAAAACACCCTAAAAACACAAAAAAAAACAGTTTTTTCTTGGGGTTTCTGGGTAAAATATGTGGACAAACATTTCTGATGATCTTATCTTGCGGAAAATGACGCGATGAATCGAATGAGACCACGCGCAGATTTTTATGTCAAACCGTTTAGGAGATATAACGGTTCAAAGTATGAAAATTTTGCCATTTATTTTTTAAAAAATGCAGGTTTTGCGCATTGTTTGACGTTTTTTGCCTCCTTGGTGCGTGTGGGTGCTCCTATCTTGTGGAAAAAGACGCGCTGAATCGAATGAAACCACGCACAGAGTTATATCTCAAACCGTTTAGGAGATATAGCGGTTCAAAGTATGGGCACTGTAGTCCGCCCGCCCGACAGGCGTGTTTGGCGGCTCTGCCTTGTCGGGTGTGTGCAGGAGCTCCCCCGTGCCCATACTTTAAACCACTATATCTCCGAAACGGTTTGAGATACAACTCTGTGCGTGGTTTCATTCTATTCAGCGCGTCTTTTTCCACAAGATAGGAACACCCACACGCACCAAGGAGGCAAAAAACGTCAAACAATGCGCAAAACCTGAATTTTAAAAAAAATAAATGGCAAAATTTTCATACTTTGAACCGTTATATCTCCTAAACGGTTTGACATAAAAATCTGCGCGTGGTCTCATTCGATTCATCGCGTCATTTTCCGCAAGATAAGATCATCAGAAATGTTTGTCCACATATTTTACCCAGAAACCCCAAGAAAAAACTGTTTTTTTATGTGTTTTTAGGGTGTTTTGGGGGATTTACTCTTCAGGTATAGGTCGGAGGTCAAATCTGAGGACATATTCTTGTTCCTTGGCCAATTTTACGTTAAGTGACCAACTTTTAGCCCTCTACTATGAAAAGTGTAAAATTAGTCCAAAATACCCAAATTCGTGTTTTTTCTCCAAAAGTTAAACTAAAGTTGGCCATATCTCGGGCAATAAATTTTTGCCGGACCTAATATTTTGGCTTTAGACTCTCCTTTAGTTAGTTATTAAGCCTACAAAAAATCTGGCAAATCGGAGAGGGTCACCGGAAGAAGTGGTCCGTCTTAGTTGATTTTGCTCTCTCGCACTCCTTGTGTCCGTACACTTTAGTGCGAGAAGGAAAGAGAAACACTGACCGTTAAAAAAATCTTGGTAATTCCCGGATTACTTTGTTGAGGCAAACTTAGCTCTTCTTGAACGGAACAACTACGCTTCAAGAAGGCAATCGCCCCCATGCACTTGGACATAGCAATAGAACGCATGAGCTGCCTTGCTCTCTTCACGAAGGGCGCGTGCGACGCTAATGTTACGTTACGCCTTAGTTTTACCAGTGTAATGGCGCGTTAAAGTCCATTTACTCCACCGCGAGTTTGGAGCGCACCTCGCAAAGCTTCACAGCACGACCACGGACGGAGTGCGCCGAGTGACGGGGCGATTCGCAGGCAGCAGACCGATTCCGAGAGTCGTTTTCGTCGCTCTGTCTCTCTCGCACTCCTAGGACGTCCCCTAGGAGTGCGAGAGAGACAGAGCGACGAAAACGACTCTCGGAGTCAGCCTTCGCTGTCCCGGCCGTGGCGGCACCCTTCTTTGACGGCGTCGACGCGGTCGGCAAGCGCGGGGCGCCTCAAAGACCCCCCGCGACCACGACCCCCTGGGGCGCCACTCCGCAGGCTGCATTTGAACTGCGCTTTCCTCGTCGCTCTGTCTCTCTCGCTCTCACGCGGGGTGTCCGACAGTGTGCGAGAGAGAAGGCAGCCAAGCGCCACAACGGCATCCCGCGGACAAGCTGCTGACCATCGCCACGTCCGCTCGGCGTGAAACGTAACACCGAAAGTTTTGGCGGCCGACTCCTTTCTCGGGCAAACACTGCCACAACTGCCGACGGACTTGTGCCGTGTTAATATCAACGCAGTAAACTCTACGAAGAACCGTTTCAATACGAACAACGGTAAAAACTCGGTAAAAACGGTTTCTGGTTTTCCCAGGAGCTCCCTGGAAATCGCTTATGTCTCTACCTTAGGCTTCCTGGGAAAACCAGGTTCCGTTTTCACCGTTAAGAAAATGAAGGCATTGTAAAATCTACGAAGAAATGCTTCGTATCATGAAGCAAAATCCTTCGTAATACGAAGCGTTGCTTCATTATACAAAGCAATTCTACACTTTTTACATTTTTTGTACACAAGATTCTTCAAAGGTAGGGATTTTGTCGAGATTTCGCGAGATTTCGCCTGATTTTGATGGGACTTCGCGCAAGATTTGGGCCAATCAAGTGTTCATGGGATTTCTGGAGTGGCCGCCCCCTCGGTGACATCTACACTGTTAAAAATTTTTGCTGAAAATTCAGACTTTTTTGACTGAAGTAAATATGCAGAACATCCTACTGAAAATTCAGACTAAATCCTGGTCTGAAATTTTCAGACTTACACAAGTCTTAACCTTTCAGGCAGGTCGTTGTCTGAAAAATTCAGACAAAATTGTCTCAATTACTAGATTTTTTTGTCTGAAAGTGGCAGCAGGAAATTTTCCCGTAACTCGGTGAAATGATAATGTTTACATCCGAACCTCAAAGGAGAGACGTTCTCCAAGGAACCGTCTAGGTAAAAAGTGGAGTGTAGGGAAATGTCCCCGATGTGGGACTCTTCCCTGCACTCATCTGGAGCTGGCCTGACGCACCCTAGGAAACGACGGCACGGAGCCAACCGCGAGAGGTGACTTCAAATGTCAATTGTTAAACTCGCGCGTTTGCTACAGATATAAATTTGGTATGAGAGCGTGTGTTTCGTCATAGCCAATAGAGTAATAGCTATTTCGGGTTGGAAATATTAAAAATTTAACAGAAAAAGGCGTTTTTAACAACAGCAGGCTCTTTACCGACACTAGCGCCACCTAGCGGAGAGAAAAATGCTTTCGTTTTGTCTGAAGTCCCCGAAACGGAGTCGGATTAAATTGAATGTAAGACTGATTGTGAGTTAACCCAATGTTAGGTTGGAAGAAAGTTGTCCAATTTTCTCTTATGTTTGAACATATTTCAGAAAGTAGTCTGAATCCGAAATTCAGACTCTTGAGGTCTGGGAAGTCTGACGCAAGTTCATATGAATTTTGAGAATGAGTACAAATATTAAGACACTTCGAGTCTGAACCAAGCTTTCAGACAAAGCGTTTAAGAACTAAGACAAAAACTCTGATTTTTCAGAATTAAGTCTGATTTACAGATTCAGACCGCTAAGTCTGACAAAATTGGTCTGAATTTTCAGAATTTTTTTAACAGTGTATGTCTCCAGTGACACACTTGTGTAAGGAAAATTAGCCATGAAAGTGTCGTCAAGTGACAACTAAAATTTTCACAGTGCAGCGGGCTGGCCTGCGAGATGCAAATCTTCCGGCGATTAACTTGATGCGGGCGGAGGAGGCAGAAGCGCGACGAATTGTCAAGTGTTTGTCGCCTCCCAACTTTCCCGAGATGCTCCTCGTTAGGCGGACACCGAGCAGATCAAAAGGCAGCGAGGGGCGCTCAGCTGCACTTTTCCTTTTTCCCTCTATTTTCCTGTCGTCGTTTTGCCGAGCGCCCTCGTACACTCTTAAATTCTTTATAGTGGAGATTCTATACATCATGCTAAACAATTCTAGATACTGCGAAGATGCAGCTTTCACAACTTCAAGGAAAGTGTGCGAAAGAACGCATACTTTCGCACTCGGTTACGAACAAGTACATACGCGTATTTTAAATCTTTAGTGCGTGTAAATTTCGCATCTATACGGCCGTGAAACATTTTCTCAGTGCGCTTGAATGTAAACTTTTGCAATTATCCTTGCCAACGCACGGGGACATGAGCGAGTGATCCGAGCTGGAGTATGAGGGTCATGAAGGAGAACACGGACTGAGCGAGCGCAGCCAGTTGGCTTAGACAAAAGACGCATAGACAGGGGGTACTCCACTCTTTGCCTCAATCGATGACGAGGGCAAGCATGCGGTAGTGAAACGGAGAGTCGGACAGAGGTCGAGGGGGATTCTAGAAGGTACCCCTGACGATCCAGCCGGAAACCCATGTGGACACCATATTCAGCGGAGACCTCCCTCGCGGGTTCTCTTGAAGAGAATGAAGTTGTAAACGGAAATTGTGTCGTCCGTAACGACCACTACATTTCAAACAGGGTATTTCGGAGAAGAACTGTAACGGAAGTTAAGAAGAAATCAAGAAGAAAAAAACAACGCGAAATCCTTGTGAAAGAGCGTCTGCGTCGTCGTTCTGCGCTTTGGCAGAGCTACATTTTCATTCAAGTCTGGCTTTTGCTCTTCTTGATTCCTTCTTTACTTCCGTCCCAGCACTTCTCCGAAGTACCCTCTAGCGTAACTTAGCTTTCATTTAAGTACTCCTGCTCCTTACTGGTCGACGCGAAATAGAATCTGTCCTCAAACCGAAGTAAGAATCACGAAAGCGGCCTACCGAAAGTTGAGCGCATGCGCCGGTACCCACCTTGCTTTGCTTTGCTTGCGACTGCTGCCTGAGGGCGCGCCTCAACAGTTCCAAGGCCCTTCGTTTTTCTGTTTGAGGATTCATCGAAATACTCATGTTGCGTTCGCTCGTGGCAGGAGTTCCAGTGTGGCGAGCACCAGCACTAACCAGCGCGTCAAGGGACCAACAGGCGTCACGAGAGACCACCGAAGGAGGACCGGAGCCATCGTGGGAGAACCCTCGGACACACGACGCGCTCATCGAAAGCTTCCAATCTTCCACCACGAGCTTCACCGCGAGGTTAGTACGACTTCAGAGACATGTGTCCCGTACAATGTGACGTTCAACGCCCGCTGGAGGTTTTTCCAGAGTAGGTCTGGGCCGGAAGTCAGCAGCCGCGATCTTGGCTGGAAATTCATTTACAATGAGCTGATTTCGAGGCGTAACGGGCCTCTCAGGTGTGCAATCAAGTCAATAGGGTACTTTCGTAGAATCCTGAACCGGAAGCAAGCAGACCAGCAGACGCCAAATTGGCCGGATACTAACCTCTCTTCGGATCCAAAACTATAGCCGACCTGTACAAATATTGCTCGCGAAACACATATGCACTGCAAACAAGCATCAAACGACTGTTTATGTTCAAGTGTGGCCGATACCTTTGACGAACGTCTCTTTCCCATGTCGAGTTTGGAGCTGCTTCCGCCAACATGGCGTCTGTGTGCTTCCGGTTCAGGGATCTACGAAAGTACCCTATTATAAGCAATTCTAGTGCTAAATTATGCCAAGATAATGCCTTTTTCTGCTATTGCAGCTCTTGGTTTCCGGACTAAACGTATTCTCTGAAAAACCCGTTGGAGCTTGGGTGGTGGATGCCCCTCTTGGCGTAACACGATGTTTTAGCCTTCAGTAGTTCCTATCGTGTTTTAGCCGTCAGTAGTTCCTATCGTGTTTCAGCCGTCAGTAGTTCGTAGTTCCTATCAGGTAACCTTACTCAAGTTAAAGTGAAGTTAGACGGTTTATTGTATGATCAAGGAGTACGTTCAGACCGGACGACATAAACTGCCACCCGGCTTTCATTCTTCTACAAATGTTGCGTGCGGTTGTGCGTCAACAGTTTCATGGCACCTTGCTTCCTTCTTACTTTTGTGTGGGAATGAGTCGAAGTACCCTTTGTGACATTCGTACCTGCCAGGAATTCCGGCGTGGCGTGCACGAGGACCTACCAGCGCAGGAGCGTCAAGGGACCGACAGCCGGCACGAGACTCCACCGCAGAAGGACCGGAACCATCAAGAAGAGAACACTCGGGCACACGGCGCGCCCGTGGGAAGCTGCTAATCATCGACCTCAAACTTCACAGCGAGGTAAGAACGACTTCAAAATCATAAGTTCCGTAGAATGTGATGTTTAACGCTAGCCATAGGGCACTTCAGAGTGGGTCTGGACTGGACTCATTTACAGGGAGCTTATTTCGAGGCGTAACGGTCGCTTTGACGTACAATGGGGTCAATTACAAGTAATTCTAGTGCCAAAATACTCACTGATACTGTGGCGCATGGCGAAAAACACATTTTGTGTGTTTCCTGTACAGGTCTCCTCTGAAATACTCTTTAAAAGCACTTAAGAGCATGTGTGGTGGATGCCGCATTTGGCGTAACACGATGCTTCAGCCTTTTAGACAAAGCGTAACATCGAGTTTTAACACATACGCGCTCTCCCATGGGGTTGAGGTTATGTTGCCCACTGGAGCACTATGTTTTCTTCTCTCTTCCATTCTTCCCATTAGGTTTAATAGTTTTACCAATGAGCTTTGATCGCATTTTAAGTCACTCTTTCATCTGACATAAAGAAAACCATGCCTCACCGGACTAATTATCAAATACAGCCTCAAAATATCTGTTTTAACAGCCAAGACTTAACACTCTCATTCCAGGAACGTGACATCACGTTGAAACGAACGTGACAAAGTGTCACGTTCGTTTCAGGATTGTGTCACATTCGTTTGGGTGTGAATTGTCCAAGAACCAGCTTGTTCACGTTCAAACAAATGTGACGCAGCTCAACCCAACGTGACATTTTGTCACGTTCGTTTCAACGTGAAGTCACGTTCCTGGAATGAGAGCGAAGTCAAGTGCACAACTTAAGTCGCGCTTTAAATCATTTGTTTGCTTATATCCCTATTCAGAGGGTCCCAAATATGCTTTTAAATGGTTCTAAGTGCGCAGCATCTTTCTTGTATTTTTGTCATGCTCAAAAAGTCATAATTTAAAATCGGACTCACCTTTGACTGGCGGCGGCTCGTTTGAACCACCTTAAAATAAATTAAAAGATTCTTTTTCTCTTTGTTTGCAGTGACTCCGATCGCGCGTGACAAGTAACTAAAACCATGGCGGGGAATTCCTGGGAGTGCTACGCCTGCAACAAGACGTTCATCAAGAAGTCGACACTTTCCAGTCATCGTCGAGTCCATCACGTGGATAGGCTGTTCGAGTGCGCAGTTTGCCAAAAGAAGTTCACCCACAGAGGTTCCCTCAATAGACATGTCAGAAGTCATACTGGGGAGAAGCCTTTTGAGTGCGCGGTTTGCTATAAGAAGTTCAGTGAAACTGGCACACTCCGAATTCATCTCAGAACTCATACAGGGGAGAAGCCTTACGAGTGCACAGTTTGCAACAAGATGTGGAGTACAGCTAGTCACCTTCGATCGCATCTTAAAACTCATACAGGGGAGAAGCCTTTTGAGTGCGCAGTTTGCGACAAGAAGTTCAGTCAAGCTAGTAGCCTCCGAACTCATCTTAAAACCCACACAGGAGTGAAGCCATTCGAGTGCACAGTTTGCAGTAAGAAGTTTAACGAATCTGGTACACTCCGAATTCATCTTAGAACTCATACAGGGGAGAAGCCATTCGAGTGCACAGTTTGCAGTAAGAAATTCAACGGATCTGGTCATCTCCGAATTCATCTTAGAACTCATACAGGGGAGAAGCCATTCGAGTGCGCAGTTTGCAGTAAGAAATTCAACGGATCTGGTCAACTCCGAATTCATCTTAGAACTCATACAGGGGAGAAGCCATTCGAGTGCACAGTTTGCAGTAAGAAGTTTAACGTATCTGGTACACTCCGAATTCATCTTAGAACTCACACAGGGGAGAAGCCATTCGAGTGCTCAGTTTGCAACAAGATGTTTCGTCAAGCTAGTGACCTCCGAGCTCATCTTAGAACCCACACAGGAGAGAGGCCTTTCGAGTGTACAGTTTGCAGAGAAAAGTTTGGTCGAGAATACACCCTTAAAACCCATCTTAAAACCCACAAATCGAAGGAGAAAGAAGCGTTATGAAGCAGATATCCTTTCGAAGCATCTCTGAACTCACAGTGGCTGTTTCATCCACTGTTAAGACAAAAAAATTCAAGCTGGGAAAACTTAGAACCTGGTTGAAAAGCTTTTTAACAGACTGTTGACTAGTGCTTTGACAGTGTATTAAATATTCGGGAATTTCAATGGGGTCAAATGCCACTTTATTTCTTTTAGAGGACCATTGTATAATGTTTATCAATTGAGGTGTTTGGTGTGTTGACTTCGCATGTCGCGTGTGACCAGGCGTTTGCCTTATATAGCGCTCACCGTTTCTGTGATTGCCTGAATGAGAATTAAAAATGATTAAAAATAAGAGTCGATGTATGTGTTTTCATTTATTAAACCTTCCGAAAGCTTCCGAGTTACACATGGTAAAAAGTAGGTTCAGGTCTCAAAACACTACATCTGTTTTTCCGTCAGTGTTATGGGAGTTGTGCACTTTTCGAAGGAATTTATCACTTTTCGCACCACTACCGCCGTGAAACATTTTCTCAGTTCCCCTGGGTGTAAACTTACGCAATTACCCATGTCAACGCACGGGGACATGAGCGAGTGATCCGAGCTGGAGTATGAGGGTCATGAAGGGGAACACGGATTGAGAAAGCGCAGGCAGTCGGTTTAGACAAAAGACGCATAGACGGGGGTACTCCACTCTTTGCCTCAATCGTTGACGAGGGCAAGCATGCGGTAGTGAAAAGGAGAGTCGGACAGACGTCGAAGGAAGGGGATTCTTAAAGCTACCACTGACGATCCAGCGAGGGGTGAATCACTCAGCGTTCTGGTGTACACATGAGTACGGGTGAGTACACCTTGGTTTACTCATAAATTTCACAATTTAAAACGTTTTAAGGCTTTATTTAGCGTTTTTAACGGCACTCAACGTTAAGTCGGTTGAAAAACTAGAGAATTTCGCCCTTTTTAAACTTGTGAGTACACTGAGTACGGGCAATTTTGTACACATGAGTACACTAGTGATTCACCCCTCGGGATCCAGCCAAAACCCATGTGGTGTGGACACCATATTTGGCGGAGACCACCCTCGCGAGTTCTCGTGAAGAAAGAATGAAGTTGTAAACGCAAATTGTGTCGTCCATGATCTCTGCATTTCAAATGGAGTATTTCGGAGAAGTGCTGTACCAGAAGTTGAGAAGAAATCAAGAAGAAAAGACAATGCAAAATCCTTGAGGAAGAGCGTCTTCGTCGTCGTTCTGCCGCTTCCGCAGAGCTTCATTTAAGTCTGCACTGTGAGAAAAAAGTACGGAACATGTCTGGTCAATTATTAGCCTGGAACGTCCGTGCTTTCCAACTACGGAACGTTCCGTGCTGTTTTTCCGTACCCATTTACGTGGGTTCATATGGAGCAAGTACGGAGTGTTCCGTACTTCTCTCCGTTCCTCCGTTTTTTTCTGTACCATTTCCGAAGTACGGAATTTTTTACAGTGTGGCTTTTGTTCTTCTTGATTCCTTCTTTCCTTCCGTCCCAGCACTTCTCCGAAGTACCCTCTTGCGTAGCGTTCATTAGAGTACTCGTGCTCCTTGCTAGTCGACACGAAATAGAATCTGTCCTCAAACCGAAGTAAGAATCCCGGAAGCGGCCTACTGAAGGTTAAGCGCATGAGCCGCTATCCACCTTGCTTCGCTTCACTGGCGACTGCTGCCTGTGGGTGCGCCTCAACAGTTTCAAGGCCCTTCGTTTTTCTGTTTGAGGATTCATCGAAATACTCATCTTGCGTTCGCTCGTGGCAGGAGTTCCAGTGGCGAGCACCAGCACTAACCAGCGTAGGAGCGTCAAGGAACCAACAGGCGTTACGAGAGACCACCGAAGGAGGACCGGAGCCATCGTCGAAGAACCCTCGGACACACGACGCGCTCATCGAAAGCTTCCAATCTTCCACCACGAGCTTCACAGCGAGGTTAGTACGACTTCAGAGACATGTGTCCCGTACAATGTGACGTTCAACGCCCGCTGGAGGTTTTTCAGAGTAGGTCTGGGCCGGAAGTCAGCAGCCGCGATCTTGGCTGGAAATTCATTTACAATGAGCTGGTTTCGAGGCGTAACGGGCCTCTCAGGTGTACAATCAAGTCAATTTAAAGCAATTCTAGTGCTAAATTATGCCAAGATAATGCCTTTTTCTGCTATTGCAGCTCTTGGTTTCCGGACTAAACGTATTCTCTGAAAAACCCGTTGGAGCTTGGGTGGTGGATGCCCCTCTTGGCGTAACGCGATGTTTTAGCCTTCAGTAGTTCCTATCGTGTCTTAGCCGTCAGTAATTCCTATCGTGTTTCAGCCGTCAGTAGTTCCTATCAGGTAACCTTACTCAAGTCAAAGTGAAGTTAGACGGTTTATTGTATGATCAAGGAGTACGTTCAGACCGGAAGACATAAACTGCCACCCAGCTTTCATTCTTCTACAAATGTTGCGTGCGGTTGTGCGTCAACAGTTTCATGGCCCCTTGCTTCCTTCTTACTTTTGTGTGGGAATGAGTCGAAGTACCCTTTGTGACATTCGTACCTGCCAGGAATTCCGTCGTGGCGTGCACGAGGACCTACCAGCGCAGGAGCGTCAAGGGACCGACAGCCGGCACGAGACTCCACCGCAGAAGGACCGGAACCATCAAGAAGGGAACACTCGGGCACACGACGCGCCCGTCGGAAGCTGCCAATCATCGACCTCAAACTTCACAGCGAGGTAAGTACGACTTCAAAATCATAAATTCCGTAGAATGTGACATTAACGCTAGCCATAGGGCACTTCAGAGTGGGTCTGGACTGGACTCATTTACAGTGAGCTTATTTCGAGGCGTAACGGTCGCTTTGACGTACAATGGGGTCAATTTCAAGTAATTCTAGTGCCAAAATACTAACTGATACTTTGGCGCATGGCAAAAAACACACTTTGTGTGTTTCCTGTACAGGTCTCCTCTGAAATACGCTTTAAAAGCACTTAAGGGGGGAGACTCGTCATTCTCCTTCAAAAAATCAGATTTTTGTTTTTGAGTTTTTTTAATTCTTTGTGTCAAACCTTTGAATTGGACGGCTGGCTGGTTTCGAAATTCAAAACCGTTTGGCCAGAGGACAACATTTTGTAATTTATTTTCCACAGGATAGGTTAGACCGTTCAAACTTTGAAGCCATTTTACTCAATTGCAATATTTTGGGTCTTGCGCGCACGATTTAAGCCAGACCGTTGATTGTATTGACTTCATAATTTTTCCAATGTTTCACCTCCATATGGCCGTCAGTCTGAACTAGGATATTTTCAATCGGACAAGCGGAAGTGGCCGAAAACAGTTATTGAAATGCTTAAATTTGAATGCTTTTTTTCGTACACCTAAAAATGTAAGTTTGAGGCACTTAGGAACCACCAATTTCAATTATCCTAGTTCAATCTAGAGTGCCGGGAGTCCTTTTGAAGGAGGAACAAAGACATTTATGATATGATGCCGCATTCTCCAAAAATCATGCGCGCAGTGAATTTTTGTCGTATTTTCGAGGTTTGGCAGAAAGATTACAGATCCTAGGTTATGAGGCCTAGAGTCAAACTTTTTTTTCCAAAATGAACCTTAGAGAACCAGCTTTTTATTGGAAAACCCCCCTGACCCTCAAATCTATTGGAAATAGTTTTCATGTAAGCCTGAAATTTGCTAAAATTATGGTGTTAAAGACGAGTCTCCCCCCTTAAGAGCATGTGTGGTGGATGCCGCATTTGGCGCAACACGATGCTTCAGCCTTTTAGACAAAGCGTAACATCGAGTTTTAACACATACGCGCTCTCCCATGGGGTTGAGGTTATGTTGCCCACTGGAGCACTATGTTTTCTTCTCTCTTCCATTCTTCTTATTAGGTTTAATAGTTTTACCAAGCAGGTTTGATCGCATTTTAAGTCACTTTTTCATCTGACGTAAAGAAAACCATGCCTCACCGGACTAATTATTATATACAGCCTCAAAATATCTGTTTTAGCAGCCAAGACCTAACACTCTCATTCCAGGAACGTGACATCGCGTTGAAACAAACGTGACAAAGTGTCACGTTCGTTTGAGCATTGTGTCACATTCGTTTGGGTGTAAATTGTCCAAAAACCAGCTTGTTCACATTGAAACAAATGTGACACAATGCTCAACCGAACGTTCGTTTCAACGTGATGTCCCTGGAATAAGAGTGAAGTCAAGTGCACAACTTAAGTCGCGCTTTAATTCATTTGTTTGCTTATATCCCTATTCAGAGGGTCCCAAATATACTTTGAAATGGTTCTAAGTGCGCAGCATGCTGAAAAAGTCTTAATTTTAAATCGGACTCACGTTCGACTAGCAGCGGCTCGTTCGAGCTACCTTAAAATAAATTACGAGGTTCTTTTTCTCTTTGTTTGCAGTGACTCCGATCGCGCGTGACAAGTAACTGAAACCATGGCGGGGAATTCCTGGGAGTGCCACGACTGCAACAAGACGTTCAGCAAGAAGTCGACCCTTTCGAGTCATCGTCGAGTCCATCATATGGATGGGCTGTTCGAGTGCACAGTTTGCCGAAAGAAGTTCACTCACATAAGTACCCTCTATAAACATGTCAGAATTCATACAGGGGAGAAGCCTTTCGAGTGCGTGGTTTGCTATAAGAAGTTCAGTGAAACTAGCAGACTCCGAATTCATCTTAGAACTCATACGGGGGAGAAGCCATACGAGTGCGCAGTTTGCAACAAGAAGTTCAATCAATCTAGCAACCTTCGAACTCATCTTAGAACCCACACAGAGGAGAAGCCTTTTGAGTGCGCAACTTGCAATAAGACATTCAAACAAGCTTGGAACCTTCGAACTCATCTTAGAACCCATACAGGAGAGAAGCCATTCGAGTGCACAGTTTGCAGTAAGAAGTTCAACCAATCTGGTAAACTCCGAATTCATCTTAGAACTCATACAGGGGAGAAGCCATTCGAGTGCACAGTTTGCAACAAGACGTGCAGTACAGCTAGTCACCTTAGATCGCATGTTAGAACTCATACAGGGGAGAAGCAATTCGAGTGCACAGTTTGCCATAAAAAGTTCCATGAAACTAGTAAACTCCGAATTCATCTTAGATCCCATACAGGGGAGAAGCCATACGAGTGCATAGTTTGCGATAAAAGGTTCAGTAGAACTGACACACTCCGAATTCACGTTAGAACTCATACAGAGAAGAAGCTCTACGAATGCACAGTTTGCAACAAGACGTTCAATCATGCTAGTAACCTTCGGTCTCATGTTAGAACTCATACAGGGGAGAAGCCCTACGAGTGCAGCGTTTGCAACAAGACGTTCAATCATGCTGGTAACCTTCGATCTCATGTTAGAACTCATACTGGGGAGAAGCCATTCGAGTGCACAGTTTGCGAAAGGAAGTTAAGTAGTTTGAATAGTCTTCGAAGTCATCTTAATACCCACACAGGGGAGAAGCCTTACAAGTGCTCAGTTTGTAGCAAGAATTTTCGGTCTTCACAAGGTCTCCGAATTCATCTTAAAAACCACACAGGGGAGAAGCCATACGAGTGATCAGTTTGCAACAAGATGTTTCGTCAAGCTAGGGATCTTCGAACTCATCTTAGAACCCACACAGGAGAGAGGCCTCTCGAGTGTAGAGTTTGCAGAAAGAAGTTTAGTCGAGAGGACCGTCTTAAAATCCATCTTAAAACCCACACATCGAAGGAAAAAGAAGCGGAATGAAGCAGATATCCTTTCGAAACATCTCTGAACTCACAGTGCCTGTTCCATCCACACTAAAGACAAAGGGTTCAAGCTGGGAAAACTTTGAACCTGGTTGAAAAGCTTTTTAACAAACTGTCGACTAGTGCTTTGGTCCTCATTTACAGTGTTATTACATATTCCAGAATTTCAATGGTGTCAAATGCCACTTCATCTTTTTGAGCACCATTTTATAATGTTTATCAATTTAGGTGTTTGGTGTGTCGACTTCGCATGTCGCGTGTGACCAGGCGTTCGCCTTATATAGCGTTCACTGTTTCTTTGATTGCCCAAATGAGTATTAAAAATGATTTTAAATGGCAGTCGATGTATGTGTTCTTATTTATTAAACATTCCGAGAGCTTCCGAGTTACCAGTGAAAATGCAGAGGTTTCGAAAAACGATCATTCTGAGAAAAGTAACGTATGTATTCGATTGATTATTCTTGGCTCAAAATTGTATCAAATCAAAGAAAAATCAGCATGGGAGGGCGGGGTGGCGATGGCAAGTCGGAGCGCCAGTGCACTTCTTTTTTCTGCTACTGCTTCACTCCTGCCACGATTCCACCTATCTGGATTGAGCCTCGAGCACGGGATTCGAAAATTTTACATAAGAACGTATGTGGCATATGGGCTATGGACTGAACCACGGGCATGCAAAAATAATAATTTTGAATTTGTTTTTTTCTAAAGGCAATAATAGAGCCAAGTTTCTTAACCAATTTTTTCATGCTCTCATGGCTGCTGCTCACGTCCTATTTATGGGACGGCTTTTTCCGAGGTTCAGACGGGTTCAGACCGTAGACGGAAGTTTGACAAACATTTTGCCGCCAAATTATCTCAATATTTGCGCCCGTGAGAGTGGCACCAAGGTAACAATAACAGGAAAAGTAGCGATATACATCGGCAACTTTGGCCCGTCCCGTACATTAACAAATGTGTGAATTTCGCCTTTGTTTAACCCTGACGACTTTAAACCAGGGTCTAGGGTCAAAATAGATGTTACTTTCGTCATCAGCGCCCTCAAAAACATAAGGAACAATGCAGAAACTCGAATGAAAAGAAAGTTTAAAATATACCCCACTGGGATTTGAACCCGGGTCCGAACTTCTCCGATTCATTCGAAAGTGGCACCATTGGTTTTTTCTCGTCGCACCGATTCCAAAAATACCCCTACATGCCCTGCTAGCTGCATCCGTTGCCGAGATCCTCCTCGACCCCATGTAGACCATGATGCACCTGCAGCAGCGCATCCGGGGCTCGGATTGGATTTGCTGCCACCGGGCGGTTCTTAGGGTCACCCAAGGAGGCTGCATACCAAATTTGGTCAAGATCGGACCACGGGAAGTCCTCGGACGAACGAACGAACGGACGCACAGCATGCATCATACGTCCCTCCGTCATTTTTTTACAAAAAATAAACGGGACGGGCCAAAAATGGTGTTATGAGAAACATAGATTTAACGTAGAAACATAGATTTAACGTGTTTATTATTATAAATGCAACTTTTGACGTATTTTAGTTCAGTTTGCGCCGAAATGTTTCTTTTTTTAGCCCCGATTTAAAAAATCACGGAACAAACTCATGGGTTATCAAGCGCTGAATCTTACCGCCAACTATTAGGGGAAAAGATGCTGTTTCAATCAAGTCAAAATTAACTTGTAAAATGTTCCCGAGCTGAAGTATTTTGAATTTCATGGTCGGGTTTGCACCATTCAACTCAACATGCAATTTAGAAAAATACGGTAAAATAAAACAATTACGAAAAATTTGACGATTTTCACTGGTGCGCCCTCTTAAGATAGGATTCTCTTGCAGGTAACGCCCAGATAAGAGCATTTATATAGGACCCCTCGAAATTTACCTAGTTTCACGGCCCATTTGAACTTATAGTACATTTCTGCTACATTATACTTCTGGGTCGTGGAGGGATCCCAGCGTGAGGTTCAGGAGGGGGCGATGCCCTCCACTGCTAAATAAAAGTGTGGAAAGTACAACAAAAGTACAACAAACTGTTCAATAAAAGTACAACAGGGGTTGTAGAAAGTACAACGAGAACTGTACAAACCACAACGAGCCCTGGACTGCACAGCACTCGTCATGCCGGTTCCTTTGTACTTTGTACAACAATTGTTGTACTTGAAAAGTATACTAACTTCCTGATAAAAAATTTGCCAGAAATTTGTGTACTTTTGTTGTGGTTATTTCCTGCAGTGTCTGAAAACCTTACTTCAGGCATTCAAAGACAAGTAGCTTATTTTAACGAAACTTCATCATAACAAGCTAGGCAGTTGAGCATGCATTAGCTATCGAAGGAAATACCTCGTAATTTACGAACTATTTATGCGTATTACAAACTAAATAGTTTGTACCTTGCATGTGTTCAAAATATTCCGTAAGGTTTTCTACGTGTGTAGTCAAAGTTGCCTACTTAGGGGCACGGTAAAAACGGTACCTGGTTTTCCCAGGAACCCCCTGGAAATCGCCTACGTCTTTACCATAGGCTTCCTGGGGAAACCAGGTACCGTGTCTACCGCGGGGGCAACGTGCGACAATTTTCCCCTAACACCCCCAGCGACGCTTCTAGGCTTCACACGTTGGCAGCGACGCGGTAATCATAATGAGAAAATAATTACTGCTACCGCCTCCGCCCAGGTGCGGCGTGTGCGGCGCCAGGGAAGCAGGGGCGCGAGGGAGTCACTCGGAGGGGAGAGGGAGACAAGGCTAATCCCGGCAGGTTGAGTACCACACGGAGTGGAAAAACCTATTTGGCGCGTTGCAGCACCGCGCGTAAATCAGAAACGCGCTCGGTACCAGACCTGCCGCGGCAGACTCATTCCGAGAGTCGCCTGTCTCTCTCGCACCTGTACGGGACGCCCCATGAGTGCGAGAGAGGCAGAGCGACGACTCTCGGCATGAGTCTGCAGGATGGTGGCTTTCGAAAAGCGTCTCACGCGCCACGTGGTCCTTGTCGCACCGGCAGGCTTCGGCAAGCGGACGGGAAAGCCTTTCCGATGCCTCCCGAGTCAGCGGTGCCGTATACATCACAGCGCACCGCACAGTGGGCCAGAAGACCGGTGGAGGCGGCCAAAACTCCAGACGCGTTTTGAGCTCCAGAGTCGCCAAATGAGACTCGAACCGAACGTGTGACCCCACCAATGGATTGCTCTCCGAACGAGGAATCCATTGGTGGGGTCACACGTCCGGTTCGAGTCCCATAAAGCGACTCAGGAGCTCAAAACGCGTCTGGAATTTTGGCCGCTCCACCGGTCTTCTGGCCCACTGTGCACCGGGTAGCGAGCGAAGCGCCGGAGCGCGAGGCGACTCGTATTTCACGTCGCCGTCGCGCGCGGCGCGCGTATTTTAAAACGCGTGTTCCGATCCAGCGGCCGTATTGAGGGGAATTTCATATCCAATTATTAGATCGGTTGGCACGCGTGAATAATGGCGAGGCGCCCAGCAGACCGATGCCGAGAGTGGCTGTGCCTCGCACCCACATGGGACGCCCTTTGAGTGCGAGAGGGACAGCGACGGAAATAACGGCTCTCGGAATCAGAGTGCAGGACGCAGCATCGTTGCACCGCGCACCACGGGGCAGGCGGGAGTGCAGGTGTCGCCCTTACCGCCCGAGAGGTGGGCGCATGTGTCGCACTTTGCCACTGTGTAGGTATAGACAACTTAAGCTATATCCGAGCTCCCCCCCCCCCTCCTGGACTAGTTTGGATCCGCCCTTGTAGCGAGGAAAGGAGAATGCATTCTTAAAAGCCTAACGAAGAAAATGAAGGCATTGTAGAATTGCTTCGTATTATGAAGGAATGCTTCGTAATACGAAGAAATGCTTCGTATTACGAAGGATTTTGCTTCATGATTCGAAGCATTTCTTCGTAGATTTTATAATGCCTTCATTTTCTTCGCATTATGAAGTGATTCTTCGCAGTTTTCACTGTGCGGGGCACTCATTTAGTTCACGAGAAAAGTCGTGGGACGCTGAAACGTGCACTGCAGTTTCAAGTGCGAGATTGTCTCACACTTGGATTTGCAGTGTGATTTCAGAGTGTCCAAAAAAAATGGCTGCGTATATGGAAACAGAGTTCGGGAATAACGACCCAAGTGATGGAAGGGATGAGAATTCGTCATTTGCATAATGGGAGCGGGTGTCAGCGAGAGAGAGAGAGAGAGAGAGAGAGAGAGAGACGTTGGCACGGGCTGCAGCAGGAAGAAGAGCGGTGACAAGGCCTGTCGGTGACGCGGCTCAGTCGCTAACGAGTGAGAGAGAGAGAGAGAGAGAGAGAGAGACAGGCGGCGAAAAGCGAGACCAAGAATTACGCTTCAATTTTCAGTCACGCGATGGAAATCCAACAAGCGCCGGCAAAAAAGGAAGGGGTGCGCAGGGATGCCGCCCGGCTGGTACCATCCACGGCAGGAGCCATGGAGTGCAGCCAGCCTTGAAATCTGGGAAACAAGTGGGACGAAGACATGAAGCTCTCCGAGCGAAGGACTTGCTTCTTAAAGGTCAAAAGAGAGAAGACTATCTTCTTTGTGACCGGAAACAATAAGTCGAATCCAGAAATTTTTATCCCTTTTTGCCCTTTTTGGATGCAGGTGCCTTTGCTGCAAGTACCTCATGTCATTAAAATTTACCTTGTCGGTGTCGACAAACACCGTAATTCTGTTTTTATTATTTTCCATTCATGTGTAGCTCATTTCTTTGAATTTGCCCGCCTTCCAAAAAATGTACGTTGTTCCCCAAATCCCGATGCAAGCATCACTCTGTGTCAACACCATGATGGAATTCTCGATGCTATAGCTGTGTGTGTGTGTGTGTGTGTGTGTGTGCAGACAACGCGTGGCTGCACATCGTCTGCTGTGTGCCAAACGTCTAGACAGCTCAGGGCAGGCCGCGGACGCGGAAGGAACTGCAAAGGAGTCCCGCCTTGAGACGACCTCGACTTTCGCGTGCCACAAAGGGACCGAGGAATTGACTGTGAATCCGAAAAACGCTCTGAACATGGCTTTGAAGGGCGGTGCAATGCATTGCGACTTCACACCTCGTGCAATGCGTCCACAAAATATACCCTGCGCTATGCTAATGCGTGGGACGTTCGGTGCAACTGCATTCCACCAAATTGTGAATGCATTCCACCAATACGAAAATGGGCTCAAACGCATTGCACCAGTTAACGCTACACTCCGCTGCAAGAAATGGCCAAAACAAAAGTACACAAATATGTGGCAAATTTTTTATCAGGAATTTATTGTACTTTTCAAGTACGACAATGTTGTACAAAGTGCAATGGAACCGGCATGACGAGTTCTGGGCAGTCCCGG